TCCTGTTACCATCCGCCTAGACGCACAGTTCGGGACCCCCTACCCGAGATCCGCCGGTTTTGACACCAACAACCCCCTTTTATAGGTGGGGAAAAAACTCCAACCATTACCCCACATCTCAGCCCACAGAGAGCGGTACTACCGCTCGAAGGAGTGGTACTACCGCACTAGGAAGCGATACTACCACTAGGCCCAGCGGTAGTACCGCTGGAGCTTTGCACAAAGGCTGGAAAGAAGGGGCAAGGAGGAGGAGGCCCCCGAGCGATACTAGTAGCGGAGGTAGAGCGGTACTACCGCTCAAGAGTGGTACTACCGCGCCTACTGCCACTCCTATTACCGCCCAACCCGACACTAGAGGAGACCCCCTCGAATCGAGGCGGTACCAGAGTAGAACATGAGCAGTACTACCGCTGATGGCCACGAGCGCTACTACCGTTGAGAAAAGCGGTACTACCACTTGAGGCTGTCAGCGGTACTACCATTCAGGCCCGGCGGTACTGCCGTTGACTCCTCCCAAGTGCCACTTCCACGAAAACAAATAAACTCCAAGGAAAACCAGAACTGCCACAACTTCTGCAAATGAGCTCCGAATTGAGCAAACTCAAGCTTGTTGGTTATAGTAAGAAGAGGCAGTGGAGGTATGCCTAACATGTAGAGGAGTTAAACCTCCAACAGAGAAGAACCGACATAACCTCCAACATCGAAAACATCATAGAAGAACCAAGTGAACTCCATTTTTGATGAACCCGAGCTTGCCATAAAGATGACCATAAGCTCTAAGACACACAAATAAAACCAAACAATAACCAAGAAAGATGATGCAAGGATGCAATAGTTTGAGCTCTCTATGAACGATATGATCAAGATACTCATCGTGAGGCCCCTTGATAGTACGGCAATCGATCCTATAACCCGGTTTCCCAACTACCACCATGAGACCGGTAAAACAGAAAACCTATCAAGGGCAAACCTTTGCCTTGCACATAGTCCACTTGAGCTACATGATGACGATCTTGACACCCTCAAGTTGGACCACCTTTCTTGATTGCATTGGCACGATGAAGACTAGTTGATTGCTCCTCATACTCCACTATGGGTGAGCCACTCTTCGGCACATCTTCACAAGTCCATTGACACCACAATGGAGGACAAGCTTCAAGTACTTGATCTCTACGTGATGCTCCACTTTAACTTGCACATGACAATCTTGATGACGATCACCACTTGATGTTATCATCTCCAAGGGTTGAGTGATATCTTCCTTTTGACGCAAGCCCATGGACACGAACCTAAACCCACATAGAACTCTCTCATAGACCATGGGTTAGTACACAAAGCGCAATGGACCATGCTTACCATACCATGGATCACTTGATCCCTCTCGGTACATCTTCTATGCTTTGTGAGTTGATCAACTTGATTCACTCTTGACTTAGTCTTGATCAACCTTGAAACTCTCCGACTCTCTTCATTTGGATGATGTCTTAAAGGTAAACATGAATGATCACAAAATCTTCTTCTTGAAGACATGCTTGCAATAAGCTCAACACTCACATGACCAATCTTTGGATAATTCCTTAATAACACCTTGGTCAACACATAAACTCCTTGAAACCAACACAAGGACTTCAAGAAATTCCTATGGACAAATCCTTCCAATATAACTCAATACAACCATTAGTCCATAGAGAATGTCATCAATTACCAAAACCACACATGGGGGCACCACATGTCCTTTCAAAAGTGACTAATGAGTTAGTTGCAAGATGATGTATTATGGAACGAGAAAAGAGACTTGCCGATAACGAGATTGAACTAGGTATGAAGATACCGACGATCGAATCTCGGGCAAGTAACATACCGATGAGAAAGGGAATAACGTATGTTGTCATTACGGTTCGACCAATAAAGGTCTCCGTAGTATATGTTGGAGCCAATATGAGCATCCAGGTTCTGCTATTGTTATTGACCACAGAGGTGTCTCGGTCATGTCTACATAGTTCTCGAACCCGTAGGGTCTGCACGCTTAACGTTCGATGACGATTTTGTATTATATGAGTTATGTGATTTGGTGACCAAATGTTGTTTGGAGTCCCGGATGAGATCATGGACATGACAAGGAGTCTCGAAATGGTCGAGAGGTAAAGATTTATATATAGGACGATAGTATTCGGACATCGGAAGTGTTTCGAATTGTACCGGGTATATATTGGGTCACGGGAAGGGGTTCCAAGCACCCCCCCCCCCCCGGCAAAGATATGGGCCTAATGGGCCAAGACAGGAAACACAGCAGCCAGCACGGGCTGCTGCATCCCCCATGTAGGCCGCACCTGAGGGGAAGGAAAGAGGGGAAGAGACAAAGGAAGGGGAGGGATTCGGCCTCCCCCTTCCTTCCCTCCTGCTCCTCCTTTCCCCTCTGGTGAATAAGGAAAAGGGGGCGGCCAAATTGGGGGAGGCACCCAAGTAGGATTCCTCCTACTTGGGGCGCCCCCTGCTACTCCCCTCCCTCTCCCACCTATATATACATGGGGAGGGGGCACCGAGAAAGAAAAACAACATCTGTTAGCCGTGTCCGGCGCCTCCCTCCACAGATTACTCCCTCGGTCATATTCTCGTAGTGCTTAGGCGAAGCCCTGCACGGATCACTTCACCATCACCGTCACCACGCCATCGTGCTGCGGAACTCATCTATTTCCTCGACACTTTGTTGGATCAAGAGTTCGAGGGACATCAATGAGATGAACGTGTGCAGAACTCAGAGGTGTCGTACGTTCGATGCTTGATCGGTCGGAACGAGAAGAAGTTCGACTACATTGACCGCGTTGTCTAATGCTTTCGCTTTTGGTCTACGAGGGTATGTAGACACACTCTCCCCCTCTTGTTGCTATGCATCTCCTAGATAGATCTTGCGTGGGAGTAAGATTTTTTTTGAAATTGCACGCTACCTTTCCCAACAGGTCGAAGGCCAGCAGATTTGCAAAACCGTCCCAGGAGTCTAGTATGTGGCGCAGAATCAGGGACTTCGACAATGACTGTTGGATTGGAGATCCAATGACCTAGGTGTCGTGGCAAGACATATATTTTCTAGCATGTATGGCATAATAAACCCACATTATGCCTTCCCTCCAACTCAACGATATCACTTGGGTCCATCCAATTTAAATCTTTCCTCACTGGTTTCAAGACCTCAGCATAGCTAGGACTACTCTCAAACACCATGTCAAGCTCATCCGGGTCCTGTTCAATATTGCCTTTCAAAGAGGTGTCTTTTTCCACGTGATGAACATAAACACATGTTCTTCTCATCTCTAGAAGAATTAAAACAACACAACATAACATATATTCCATAAGTACTCATCCGAAGATTAATACAAAATATAAAGCCCTAACATAGATATGAAACAATAGCCCTAACCCCACTTAACAATAACCATAAGCATAACCCTAAGATACTAACAACCCTAACCCTAACCCCAACATAACAACACCCATAACCCTAACCCTAACATACTAAGAAGCCTAACCCTAGAAAATTGGCAAACAAACATCTCATATTTCCATACAAATTTCAAAATCCATGAAAAACTAGGGTTTGGCCAAACTAGCAAGAAATGAGAAAATGCGAGCATTTTTTGGATGAAAACGAGGGGATCGGAGGAGATTACCTAGAGGGAGGGATTGGGTTTGAAATCCATGGAGAAAACCTTCAGATCTGCAAAATTTGGGGAAGAATTTGAGACTGGGAGAGAGGGGAAATCGCGGGTGAGAGAGATATGGTGGGGGTTGGGCTGAGGGGTTGTGTGGGTGTTGGGAGGGGGCCCGCACGGGCCCTGTTAACAGAATGTGCAGCGCCTAACTGCTAGGCGTTGCACATTACATGTGTGGCGCCTATTTGCTAGGCGCTGCACGGCTGGGTGTGGGCCGGGGCCTGGCCCAGGTGTGCCACGCTGGGCAGATGTGCAGCGCCTGCAAAGTGTATTGTGGATCCTGTCTGTCGGACGCTACAGAAAAGGGTGAGCTGCGTAAAAAAATTTCAAACACGGTTCAGTTTGTGAAATACTTTCGTCCACACGTCAGATTTGTCATTTTTTGCCTGTTTTTTACATCCACACATGGTGTGAGATGTGGTAAGCTGATGCCACTCACTAAAACAGTGTAGTAACTTACACACTGATTCTTGCAGACTAATTCATGATTAGCATTGATGGTGCAGCAGAGATTTGCTAGCCTGTCTGTCCACCTCCAGCCACCTTGATCTGTTCTAGTTGTGCCACCACTGCCATACCACAAATGCTGAAGATTCCTGGGAAAAAGAAGAGAACATGTATTCCTGCCATACCAAAAATGCTTAAGATTCTTGGGAAAAAGAAGAGAACATGGGAGTGGACAGGTTGCTCTCAACATCCATTGTCACCATGTGTGGATCAAATGTGTGTACTGCCACTGATCCTAGCTCTAAACTGAAGGACACGATTTTTTTTCAGAGCAAATGTACTATCAGAAGTGAGGGGAGTAGAGCACACTGGATCAGTACTCATCTTCCTCTAATCACTCTTGCCCACATGGGTTATCCAGGGCACTTAGCATCTGATTCGAGGTCAAGTGCACAAGACACGGCTCCCGGTTTACATGCTCTAGACTAGACAATCAACTCCGCATCACCCAACACAAAGTTGCTTCCTTTCTCCCCACGATCAAGAAAAATAAAGTCGCTTCCCTTCTCTAAATCTAAGCAAAAAAAGAAGAAGCAAAGAGAAAGTTTCTTCCAATTCCAGGAGCCATGGCACCACCGAACAGAGCTTGCAACAAACAGCGATCTCGTGCTGTAACAATGGCATTTCAGTCAGAGCAGATCATGGCAGGGCAGAGCATGAAACCGCAAGCTTGAAAAAAGGGGTCGGTTAATCACGCGAAGATCAAAAATTAGTGACGCAAATCTACAGAGAGTAGTAAAAGATCATCCAGGTTGCACTGCTATCCTACAATTTATTGCCGGGCAATCAGTAAGGAGGAGTTTCAATGGCGGAGGAGGCGGAGGAGGGCGTGGGTTGTATTCTGTCGAGGAGCGCGGCGGCGTCGCGCATGGCGGGCCGCTTGCCGGGCGCCATGGCGCAGCAGGCGAAGGCGAGCCGGAAGCAGCCGAGCAGCGCGTCCTCGCCGCCGGCGTCGGCGGCCTCGCCGCGGAGCGTGGGGTCGGCCATCCGCAGCACGCGGCCGCGCTGCACGTCGACGGCGCCGGCGTGCCACTGGCAGAGCTCCACCTCCGAGTAGACGCGGCCCGAGAGCAGCTCCAGGAGCACCATGCCGAAGGAGTAGACGTCCCACTTGGCGTTGGGCCGCAGGCTCTTGAGGCACTCGGGCGCCTGGTACGGCGGCGGTGCCGACGCCGCCGGGCTGGCCCCCGGGCCCGCGCCGCCGGGCATCTGGGAGAGGTCCGGCAGGCTGCTGGTGGAGTGCATGGAGCGCTTGCTCCCGAACAGCCGCGCCGACGCGCCGCCGCCGCCGCCCCGGCCGGCCGCGGCCTCGCCGGACAGCAGCCGGTCCAGCCCCAGGTCGCCCACCAGCGGCTCCATGTCGGCGCCAAGCAGGATGTTGCTGGGCTTCACGTTGCCGTGCACGCCCTTCTTGTCGTGGATGAATGCCAGCCCCCGCGCCACCCCGCGCGCAATCCGCAGCCGCGCCTCCAGGTTCAGGTGCATCGGCGACGCCGCGCCGAACCGCCCTGCAATCCAACACATGAAAATCTATCAACAGCTGCTGTAAATTTTAGGTACTGATGGTAACAATCAAGAAAGAGTTACTGCTAAAAGTGGCCATTAGTGCTAAATTATGATGAATCATGACCCTTGTCCCGACCCAATTAACTCATATTGATTTACAGCACTACTAATTTGTGCAAATTAAGGTTGAACAATTTCGTGGAAATTTCGTGGAAATTAAGGTTGAACAATGAAAAAGGGAGAATAAAAACTTGTAATGGCAATGGAGTGGAGCAGGGCTTACGGGTGAAGGCGACGTTGGCGAGGCTGCCGTTGGCGGCGTAGTCGTGGATGAGGAGCTTCTCGTCGGCGCCCCAGTAGAAGCCCCGGAGCCGGAGGATGTTGGGGTGCCGGAACCGGGCGACGGCGCGGACCTGCGCCTCGAAGTCCTTGAGCTTGTCGGCGCCGCCGCTCTCGCCGATGCGCCGCACGGCCAGCGCCGTGCCGTCGGCCAGCACCGCCTTGTACACGATGCTCGACCCGGTGGCGCCCAGGATGTAGGCCGACGCCTTGAGCAGCGTCTCCATCTCCAGCTCGCCGTCGCCGCCGTCCACCGTCACCAGCGTCGCCGGCGCCGGCGCCTGCTGCTGCTGCTCGTGCTTGTTCTTGCTGTGGTGCTGCGGGGTGCCCCACCCGATGTAGCTCCCGGCTCTTTTCTTGGTGTCCTCGCCGCCGCCGTCGTCGGACGCCGCGTCGGATGACGATGCCGAGCAGTCGGAGCTGTCCGAGCCGTCGTTCTTGCCGCCACCAATGCAGCATCCAATCGACGTGGAAGTTTTTTCTTCTTTCGCTCCGGCGACGCTCAATGCCTTGGCTCCGCCGCCGATGCCCTTGTGCTGCGGCGCCGTCGGGTTCTCCTCCCGCCGCTGCCGCCGCTTCTTCCTGATGTGGTAGACGTACATGAAGAGCATGAAGAGGAGCCCTACGCCGGCGAGGTCGCCGGCCACGATGGCGAGGATCACCAGAGGTTTGAGCTTCCCCTGCCCGCCGCGCGGGGCCTGGGCCTCGGGGGAGCCCGGCGGCGCCCGTGCCGCGCTCTTGGGGATGGCCGCGAAGGCCGGCGGCGAGTCGGTGGCGTTGGGCGGGTTGGAGAGCGACGACGGGATGGAACACGCGTGCTTCAGCGGCGGGCCGCACAGCCCCGGGTTGCCCTCGTACGCCGACGCCGGCTGCGCGGCGAAGGGCCCGGCCGGCGGGACCGCGCCGGTGAAGTTATTGTTGGACAGATCCACCGACGTGTTGGCCGGCACGACGTCGGACAGGTCGGCCGGGAGCGCGCCGGTGAGGCTGTTGGACGAGACATTCAGGAACCTGAGCTGCGTCCCGCCGAAGTCCGCCGGGAGCGCGCCCCTGAAGTAGTTGTTGCTCAGGTCCACGACCTCCAGCCCGCCGAGCCCGCCGGCGGGGAGCTCGCCGGCGAGGTAGTTGTTCGCTAGCCCCAGCACGGCGAGCCCAGGCGCCCTGAGGAGCGAAGCAGGGAGCCAGCCGGCGAGCGCGTTGTCGGAGAGGTTGAGCTCCTGGAGCCCGCGCGCGTAGGACGCGTCCGGGAGCGCGCCGGAGAGGTCGTTGCCGGCGAGCGAGAGCACGCGGAGCTCGGTGGCGTTGAGCAGCAGCGCGGCGGGGAGGGTGCCGTTGAGGCCGTTCCCGGAGAGGTCGAGGTGGCGCAGGTGCTCGACGCGGGCCAGCTCGGCGGGGAGCGACCCGGAGAGCTGCGCGCCGGGGAGGACGAGGCCGATGACCCGCGACACCGTGGCCGCCGCCATCGACGCGTTGAGACCCAGCAGCGTGCCGTTCGCCCTGCCGCCGGCGAGCGTGCTGAAGTTGCCGTTCCCGCTCCCGCTGCCGTCGGCGGCGGAGACGGAGGTGAGGTTGACCGTGGAGGCCTGTTGGGGCTGCGGGAAGCCGTTGCAGATGACGCCGTTCCAGGCGCAGGCGGAGTCGTCGGAGTAGCTCCAGCCGCGGAGCGCGCCGAGCGGGTCGGCGGTGACCGCGCGCCGGAAGGCCATGAGCAGCTCCCCGTCCGCGTCCAGCCCGGTGGCCCCGCGGCCGCACAGCGCGAGCACCAGCAGCAGCAGAGAGAAGGCGCACTTCAAGCTCATCGCCCCAGCGCCAGCACAAACTCCTGCGCCGCCGCCGCCGCCGCGCCTCCTCCCCTCCATTGCAAAGTAATTAGCAGTCAGTCCTCCAGCACCGGCAACGGGACGGCATGGGAATGGCAGGGAAAGCTCGTCCGAGTCGAGCCGGAGCGGCAGGTCGGCAGGCTGGTCGGTTGACCCGGCGCCGGCCGGCTGCGGGTGGAGTAGAGTGGGGAGGAAGGAGGGGAGTGGGAGGAGGCAGCGGCAGGCGTAGCAGTGGGAGGTTGGCAATGGCATGTGAGGGCGAGGCGGAATAAAGAAGGGGGTGGATGGGAGGGCGAGGCGATGAGGTGGTGGGCCGGTGGGTGGGGGATTTTTACTCCTGCTAGTGGTAGGAGGTGATGAAAATGGGTGGAAACGGGCGAGGGGACGCCGTTTGCGGCCGCAGATCCGCCGTTGCCGTGGCCCCCTCCCCGGCAGGGAGGAGGAAGGAGGCCGCGATAAAAATTCGAGTTTTGGGGCGTGAGCCCGCCGGGAGAGCAGAGCAGTGCACAGGTCGTTTTCGGGGGCGTGACGCCTACGACGATCCGTGGATCGAGCAGTGTGGATGCATGCATCCATCCATCATGCATGTGATGTGGTGGCCTCGTCAAGCGCGACGTTGAGTCGCAACCGAATCGCCAGCCCGCCATGCCTCCCTCCCTCCATCGCGGACGATTTTTTTTTCCAGAAAATTTCCGATCTTTAATCATGGCAGTACAACGAATACCAAAAATAATAGAAATTACATCCAGATCCGTAGACCACCTAGCGACAACTACCAGCACTGAAGCGAGTCGAAGGCGCGCCGCCGTCATCGCCCCTCCATCGCCGGAGTCGGGCACAACTTGTTGTAGTAGACAGTCGGGAAGTCGTCGTGCTAAGGCCCCGTAGGACCAGCGCACCAGAACAGCAACCGCCGCAGATGAAGAATAACGTAGATCAGAAAAATCCAATCCGAAGACACACGAACGTAGACGAACAACGACGAGATCCGAGCAAATCCATCAAAGATAGACCCGCCGGAGACACACCTCCACACGCCCACCAACGATGCTAGACGCATCGCCGGAACGGGGGCTAGGCGGGGAGACCTTTATTCCATCTTCAGGGAGCCGCCGCCATCTCGTCTTCCTGAGCAGGACACAAACCCTAGCAAAACTGAAAGAAACGATTAAAAACGGAGCCCTCCCGCCGACCCTTGCCGAGATCCACGGCGCCCCCATGGCCCTAAGGCCATCGGAGAGGAGGCGGACCTGCGGCGGCGGCGGCGGGAGGCAAAAACCCTACCTTTTTGTGAAGAAGAAAAATCAAGTGAAATTGTCCGCGATGGTTGTTGCTATATAGGCAAAAACCCTAGCTTTTCTTCTTCATGGTTGTTGCTATATATGTTTTAAATAAAGATTGTACAGTAGCTGATTTTCTCCTCAACAACGACGGTTCTGCTGATCCCCAATCGGTTTCTACAAAATGCAACTTTGGTTCAGTAAAAGGTGCAACTTAGGGGTTTTTTTTTGAAAATTTAACTGCCTGAAAAGATAGAAGTTAAACTTTTCGTTAAACAACGCTGCACTTTTGAAAATCGACCGATACGTTGAAATGATCTCTACCAACCGAGATTCAAAACTTAGCATAAATCCAAATTGATCATGTGTTTCGTCGAGAATTCGATGGTCATGTCATGGTATACTCCAGACATTGCTCGACACACGGCAAGACATATCAACAAGATTTAAACATCGGTGCAGCTTGTCGATCAAGGATTCGACATTGTTTCACCAAGATTGCACTACAAGAAATATGTCAACTAGTGACCTTCTGCTAGTGACCCTGAAATTTTTTGTCATAGATCTATGACCATTTGAGACCAATTGGTCAAAAGCTGTTCGGGGGGCTCCAAACCCTAAACCATTGCGACCATTTTGGTCAGAAAGGTCGTAATTTCCTTACACGAAATGGTCACAAAGCAAATAGTGCTCGTCTGCTACCTTATTTCTAGTTGTTAACGACCAATATAGATGATCATAGCCTTGTAGATTATGATGGGTTGTGATGACTAGGCGCCATCTCATCAGTTTTGCCTATGTGTCATGTCCATGTGTCAATTTTTGCCCTAGGATGTGAAGCAACCTATATTTCCGTTATTCCAAAAATTCCCAAAAAAATTTCATAAATTGTTTGGATCATATCTTCATGAAATATGTCAAAACCCTTCCTTGCCTAGTTCAAAAATAAGTCAACAATATTCATTTTCCTATTCTGTTCAAAGAAGCACTTTGTGAAGGAAGTGTTATTTATATATTCTTGATTTCCCTAAAAAATTGTGAAGACATTCTTCTTAGTATATGATCATCCTCAGCCAAAACTCACGCTCATTAGCCATGTGCATTTCCCGTACCACTAATCAAACACTTGGCTGCTAATTCATTTTTGAGCATAGTTCGGTCTCCTCATGAGAATCTTATATTATAATTTTCTTCCTAGCACCTACCTGGGGAGTGACCAACCCACTAGACATACCTAGGCCACCCAAAATGCATGGCAACGCCACGGTCACGCGGTGACCACGCGGCGGGCATGCGAACTTATGCGCTCTAGAGTTGGGGCCCTCGTCCACCGTCCAAACCTCGATGTCTCGCCATCAAACCATGTATTTTTTATTAAATAGATACTTATTTACCTAGAAATGATTTTTGGAAAAAATAAATAGCAAACTATGAGGCACCTGCAGTTCAAATTTGACCCGCTTTCAGCTGAATCGACGGAAGTTTTATTTTTCACCACAGGTGGATCAAAACTTTTGACACCCAACCATTTTGTCAATTGTGCATTATATATGGCCTAGTATTTTATAAAATGTATTAGGTCCAATTTTGCAACAAATATATGGTAGGTCATTCACAAGAAAACTCATTTTGGGCACTCGAAAAAATGGAAAATGATTTTTTCGTCCAAAGAAAATGAAAACTTCCTTAGGCAACATTATTTGTCATTCCAAGATGCACCCTTGTGCACGATATGCGGCCATTTGAACAAACTATGCCATGAATGTGGCCATAAGATTGATCATTTGGCTTGAAAGCCTTGAATCTTCACACATGATAGCTCATTTCTGAGAACACTTTTTAAAAATAATTAACGTATTACAAGTTTATTATTTTTTCTGGAAACTTGCTCACATATAATGACACAATGCGGAGGCTTTCCAATTTTTTGATTTTTTTGAATTTTTTTTGCCAGTTTCAAAATGCGGTCAAAACTGCGGGAATGACCGTTCCTAGCTAGTTGTTGAATCTTGTAATTTTTTTGGTGTTTCTCTGACTAAATAGATACTTATGTACCTAGAAATGATTTTTGGAAAAAATAAAGAGCAAACTATGAGGCACCTGCAGTTCAAATTTGACCCGCTTCCAGCTGAATCGACAGGAATTTGTATTTTTCACCAGAGGTGGATCAAAACTTTTGACACCCAACCACTTTGTCAATTGTGCATTATATATGGCCTAGTATTTTATATAATTGATTAGGTCCAATTTTGCAACAAATATATGGTAGGTCATTCACATGAAAACTCATTTTGGGCACTCGAAAAAATGGAAAATGTTTTTTCGTCCAAAGAAAATGAAAACTTCTTTAGGCAACATTGTTTGTCATTCCAAGATGCACCCTTGTGCACGATATGAGGCCATTTGAACAAACTATGCCATGAATGTGACCATAAGATTGATCATTTGGCTTGAAAGCCATGAATCTTCACACATGATAGCTCATTTTTTAGAACACTTTTTAAAAATAATTACCGTATTACAAGTTTATTATTTTTTCTGGAAACTTGGTCACATATAATGACACAATGCGGAGGTTTTCCAATTTTCTGATTTTTTTTGAATTTTTTATGCCAGTTTCAAAATGCGGTCAAAACAGCGGGAATGACCGTTCCTATCTAGTTGTTGAATCTTGTAATTTTTTTGGTGTTTCTCTGATTAAATATATACTTATGTACCTAGAATGATTTTTGGAAAAAAATAAAGAGCAAACTACGAGGTAGCTACAGTTCAAATTTGACCCGCTTCCAGCTGAATCAGCGGGAATTTGTCTTTTTCACCAGAGGTGGATTAAAACTTTTGACACCCAACCATTTTGTCAATTGTGCATTATATATGGCCTAGTCTCTACTAACTAAAAGAAACGTAGTGTTCCGTTTCCCCTCTTACGTTCGCCCCTCTTCGTCCAACCTCTCGTACGATCCCTTCCACCCCGTAGCGATTTTCTTTCCCCCACTCCCAACGGTTTTCTAGCGAACGTTTCGTCCGCGACGTACTCTTCCTCCCCTCCGGTTTTCTATCGCTCCCACAAGAAAAAAACCTTAAGCCCAGCGGTCTCCCTCCCGCACCGTAGATTCTGCCGAATTAGGTTAATCTGTATCACCATCTTGTCCATCACGCTGCGACCGCTGCCGCCGCCTCTACCCCTCTGATGGGCACCACCTCCCGCACTACCGGGCGTCATTGCAGGTCGCCGCCTTGCTGCCCGTGGCTGCTGACGACGGGGAGAAGGAGGTGGGTAGGGAGGGGAGAACCAGGGCAAAACCAACGAGGAGCAGCAAGGCATCGTGGATTACATCAGGTGAGAGAGACTTCTTGGTTCTCGTCGTGGGCCTCGTGGCATGTTTTGAGTTTCATATATGTGAGAGAGTCTTGCTGTTTCTTGTGGACAGCGAGATGTATGCTATTCAAATAGGTTGCTCTAGACGCTGCATGCATATCTTGTAGTTTTGTGGCAAACTTATTCTACGACTCTGGCAGGATGTGGCATTTTTTGCATGCGGTATTAATACATGATCAGGTTGTTTCTGCCAATTGAAGTCTTATATGGCTCGGTGCCTGGGTTCTAGTGTGAGTAAAATGATTAGAGCAATACCAATTTCAACGCCTGCTCCTTCTTCACCTTTTTGAGCTTTCTCTCAACTTTTAGTACTGTAGTCATTTGCCACCAGTGTGGGACAATAATAGGACAAATTTATTCACACTAAAATTGCCCATAATAGAATTTAAAACTATTACATAAGTAGATAACGGAACAAAAAGCCTATGATCAGTTAACCTGACGGAGTACATAATTTATAGTCTGCAAGGCAGAGTTCGTTGTCTCAGTAGTTCATGATTTTTCACTCCTCCGATTGTAATAACTTTTAGTAAGATGTATGACATTCCTCAAAACTGAAAGTGACAAATCATGCACACATTTGATGAATTTAA